ACTCTTATAAAAAAAAAAAAAAGTATCTAGGAAGGTGAAAGTGAATCAAAACGGGTTGTTTCAGAATTTTTTTCTGCCCCTCTCTCTTTCTCTGTTTTTATACTTTTCCATTCTATTTTAACCCTGGTGTAGTATCTTCGTCGATGTCGATTCTCTTTGGAACGAATTTGGAAAATGCGAAAGCATTTTTAAAAGTTCGTTTCTCTAGTGTACAAGCAATAACTAATCTACGTCTCGTTGCTAATTTTTCTGTTTTTTTTTTTTGTTTTTTGGGACCTTTCTCGCTTCCACTTTCGTTTCCACTTTCCACCGTTCTACGAATTCGAGGCGCGAAAGATTGGTTTTAAACGGAATCGATCCCCTTTTCCTAGGGAAATCGAGAAAACGAGAAATCGCGACGGTGTTTACGTTCAATTATTTAACGCAATCTTGCAATAAACAAGATTACTCGGTTTAATGAAATATGTACCCGGATTCGAGCCGTTTAATTTCATCCGCTCGCTGGTCTCGATTCACCGGTTCCCTCTGTTTCTCGTCGCTTTTATTGTTGTTGGTTTTATGGAAGGCTCGTTCGTTGCTTGGAATTAAGTCTCGTTCGTTTACAGAATAGCTTTAAAGTTGAACGAGTCGTTGATGTACGCGGGGGAGAGGGGATAAAATTGTGACGTCGTTTGAGGCTAGACTATTTAGGGAATAATTAGAGGATCATCACCTTGCCGAGTAATTTTGAGGAGGATTAAGTTCTTGGCGTGTTTGATCATGTGTTTGCGGAGAAGAGGAGAGCAAAGAATAGCATCAAAGCGTTGGAAGTTAAACAAATCAATTAAATTTCAATCCCTTCTTTTGTACGAGGCTGAAACGTCTGACCAACTACTTCTTCCACTTCATCCTTATTATTTCCTTTTCTTCTTCCATTTTAAATATACACAAGATACAAATTTTATAAATTTCAATCGACTTCTCTGACCACTTTATAATACCTTCTTCCTCCTTCAATTCTACGTACAATAATCGTATCTATAGAAAATTTCGATCCACGCGGAATGAAATTTTAACAATTCAAAGTCCACCATCCCGGCTCGGATTCCATCTCATCAAAAATATTCAGCCCCGACAAACAAATATTCCACAATTCCAATCAATAATTCTTACATACCGATACACAGACACAAATTTTAATTTATCCGTTGTGACGAACGGTTTGTTTTTCTCAAAACAAAAATACCGCGCATGTCGATACACGAGACACGAGACTAAAAGAGCGTCGGTCCATTTGCGAGCAGAGAAAGAGAGGGAAAAGGGAGAAAGAGAGAGATGGACGAAGAGATAACCACGACAGAAATCAATCCAGACGCAGGCGAGACGATGGGCGCACGGTAATCTTCAGATTTATTTTTATTAATCCCGCGTGATCGACCCGGATGCCAACCGAACCGCGGAATACTTGCCAAATTTACCGAAATATTGCGGTCGTTACGATGTTTCCAAATATTTCGCGGTCGGCAAATATTTATAGGGGGCTCTAAAACTGTATCGCGTATCCGTTCGAAATGAGGAAGTAAATTTTTCTCGATTTCCCCGGGATCGGGCCGGGCTATCTACTCCTCCACCCTCCCCGTTCCGCTTCCTCAAAGATTCAACATCGCTTTAATCTTTCACGAATTCCCGGAAACGAGTGTAATTTTTCCTTGGCGAATCTTCGCCAAATTAATATTTTTCCTGCGAATTTTTTTCCTTTTTCTTGTATTTGTTTCAAAATTTGCGTTAATTCATTTTTCTTTTTTTGCTTTATATATAAGTCTTTCAAAGAATAGGAATTTTGAATAGGAAATTTTGGATATAATTTCTTTCTAACTTGGCAACGATATTCTTTCTAAACGGAATAAACGGAAAAGAAAATTTACCAGACCATAAATTTCTTCCTACATTTTTCATCCCGACGAGGAATAAACCACGTTATGCGAATTTAAAATAATTTAAATACAATTTAATAAGGAATATAAAGTAGATATGAAATGGGTATAGTAACGGCGAATCGGATATATAAAAAAAGGCACTTTTTACCGGATTAAGTAATTTAATAAACCGTGGCGTGTAAAGTAAGTAGCGGAGGTGATTTTCCAAAGTGGAGAGCAAATCATCCCCTCCCTTCTCCCTTCAAAAGTGTTACGCTAAGCACATTAATATTTAAGATGTAGTATTTGCATTTAAAAAAAAAAAAAAAAAAAAAAAAAAAAGTAAAGAGGGCCCTCGAGCGGTGTAGAGCACGCGGATACTTAGGAGTCGGTATCTGTAATCTCTTGCCCACTTTTCATGCCGCCTAAACCGACGTTAACCCGCCCGTTAATGTGATTACGTACCTCCGTTTCACTCGCACGCTCCTGTCCCCGTTTATAACGTTACACCGGAATCAGATGTTAATCTCGAGTGTATTAACGGTAACCGGGCTTTTTCACGCATATTTTGCAACGTTTAATCCGGATATAATCGCCGTTATATATATAAAAATGTTGTACAATCGGGCAGAGAGAATTTTCTTGTTAATCGTTTCCTCGATACAAACGAACGATTAACGCGAAGTCTTGGAAATGGAGAAATCTCAATCCGTTAATAAGCGGTTCGGCGATAAGTTAATTTACAGGGGGAAACGATTTTCGAGATGAAAATTATAAACGCTTGTGCGATATTGATGAAATAAAAAAATAGAAGTAGCTCTCGAAACGATCTCGGAATTTTTCGATAACGAATCTTTTGTGATCATTTCATTTTAATGTATGTCGGTAAGGATTTATCGAACGATCCAATTAGAGGATTTTAATGATCCCTCCAGCGATTC